TATTGGAGACTTTAAGGTTTTGCTTTGATCTGCTGAGTGGATTTAGTGCCAAAGGAGGTTCCCAATGCTCTCTGCTGATGCTGGCTGAGAGTTCAGAAAGATTTCCCAGGCTTCAGGTGCATGGGGTGGGCTAGGGGAGAAACTGGTGAGGTGGGGTTGGAGGGACTGCTGTTCCCAAAGTCCCCTCACCTATTACATTCCGTCTGCCTCTGTGTCTGGGTTGGGAGGAGACTCTCCATCTCAGATCTTCAGGGACAAAGCCTTCCTGTAGCTGCATCGCTCTTGCAGGGTCTGCCTTCTTAGCTACTTTTCCTTTGAAAAGGCAGCCCTAGGCCCACAAGAAATGTGAAGACTTCCCTGGTTGCTTATTGTTGGTGTGGCTCCTGTAGCCATTCCTTTTGCTGGCAGTGCAGCCTGCCTGGTAGTCAGAAGAGTGCCAGTTTCATCTGGAGAAGGAACAGGGTTTCCTGGGGGCCGTCTATTGCTTAGTTGGGGGTGGCAAAAAGCAGATATGAGTGCCCTTCTGCTTGTGGGAGCACACCGTGTGCTGTTTCTCTGGTCCTGGGTCTCGAACCAGCTTGTCTTTCTCCTATCACTTTTAGCAGTGTCTTCTGGTAGCTTCATGTGTCATTACTAGGCCTGTGATACTTGTGGTTCGCATGGAAGGAGATGGAAAATGATGTCTATGTCATAAGGACTGGCAGTCCATATACTTTTAAATAGTGTGGGTTGCATTCGATAAAGGAAGTCTAAGATCACTTTGGGATTTAGTCAACTTTTATTTTCCCCTTTGATCTGCAAGATCAAGAGATTTGGGTTAGATCTTTTTGATGCAGTTCCCACATAAACACTTTGTAATTCTGATAATGTTTAGTGAACTTAAAATAGCTATTGCAAATAATTGGTGTAACTCATCATCTGCTATGCCACCTGGCTGCAATGGATTGCAGCACAGTGAATAAAATCTGCCATACTTGAATGACATGTGTGCATGAGTCAAATCAAATAAAATCTAAAGCTTGTTCTACATGCTGATGCCCATGGGGAAATAATAACTTCAGTATATGTATGAATTAACTTCAGTTTTAACATTGTATTTAGTAATATGATTATTCAGTCAAAGCACTCCCTTAATTATTTTTTAGTCGGCTTAATTTACAAATCAGATTCCTTGTCCTTTCTCCCTGTCCTGGCCCTCTGCAGTGGTATAAATTGTGTAAATAAACATGGAATCAGTAACTACCACGTTCCGGAGTCCGGTTAGGTACTGGGTAGACAGGAAACCTGCAACTCACTTCACCTGCTCTCAGCATCCGCTCAATAGCTGTATTTGAAGGTATGTGAAAGACATAAGAGTGCAAACATGGTCTTCCAGAGCTGAAATTCCTCTGCTTTGGTTTATCAAACAGCTGAGTTGACTTCTGACGCTTCGCCTAGTTGCTTTTCATCTGCCAATTTATACCGGAGTTTATTTTGTCAGTACCTCTTTGAAACTCATTAACGGTATTTTACTCCATCCTCAGGAATGATTCTGCCCAGGCACCTGAACAGATAGTAGTGCATTTTTACTTATCCTTATTAATCACTGTATCAACCCAATTAAGGCAAGTAGTCAATTAAATCATACGATTAAATAACTGTGTTTTCTACGTGTTCTGAGATATTTATACCATTCATGGACATTAAAGAAACATAAAGACAACAAAGGACTAAAAAGTACTTCAGTGTTAGGCAAGTTTTTATCTTAGCAGCCTTTATACTGCCCGATTTACAATTGTAATGAGTATATTAAAGGCTTAGTAAACCCCTTCTTGAGGTACCTATCCATAAAATATACACATCTCGTATTGCAGGTGATACATTGCATTAGTTTTATGTTTTGACAGCTTTGTGACACATGCAATTTTTCTTCAACTATGAACAAATTATTTTAAAGCGATATACAGTAAAATAGAACTTTTTGTGTGTATAGATTTATGACTAGATAGGTGTATAGGTTTGTGTAACTACCACCAAAATCAGAACACAGAACAGTTCCTATACGTCAAAGTACTGTGGTATCTATCCCTTTTTAATGACACCCTCCCCCACCTTAAGCCCTGGATTACTTACTGATTCATTCTTCATTCCTGTAATTTTGTCTTTTTGAGAATGTCACACAAATGGAAGTATTACCTATGTAACTTCTGAGGCTGCAAGTGGAAATGTAAAATGGTACAGCCATTCTGGGAAATAGGTTGACAGTTTCATATGAGGGTAATCAGAAATCTCACCCTAGGTATTTACCCTAGAAAAATCAAATTTAAGCCGGACAAGGTGGCTCATGCCTGTAATCCTAGCACTTTCAGAGGCCAAGGAGGGCAGATTGCCTGAGCTCAGGAGTTTGAGACCAGCCTGGGCAACGCAGTAAAATCCTGTCTCTACTAAAATACAAAAAATTAGCTAGGCGTGGTGGTGTGCACCTGTAGTCCCAGGTATTTGGGAGGCTGAGGCAGGAGAATTGCTTGAACCTGGGAAGCAGATGTTGCAGTGAGCTGAGATCACACAACTGTACTCCAGCCTGGGTTACAGAGACTCCATCTCAAAATAAAAAAACAAGAAAAATCAAAATTATACCACATGAATGTTTATAGTAATTCTATTCATAATTGCCCAAATACAAACATTGTAACTATTCTTCAACAGGAAATTGGAAGTATCCCAAAGAACAAATTATTGATATACATAACAGCATCGGAATCTCACTAGGTTATGCTGATGAAAGAGATTACAGTCAAGAGTTTTTAGCCCTCTGTTTTATTTTATTTTCTCTATTTTTGTTGTGGTGGTGGTTGTCATCTAGTCAAAATCTTGCTATGTTGCCCAGGCTGGTCTGAACTCTTGAACTCCTAGGCTCAAGTGGTCCTTCCACTTCAGCATCCCAAAGTTCTGGGATTACAGGCATAAATCAGTATGCCCAGCCTTTAACACATGTATTTCATGTAGATTGGGATAGAACTATTGAACCATTTAGCAAGCTCCAAAGGGAGGATTTGTTCAGAAATGAGATTGTTCTTGTCTACACAATAAAATCACAAGCAACCAAAACATCATACATTTACTGTATTGTACAGTTGTAACTAAGCTGTCAAGAATACTGACTCATTTTCATTTGAAAGGGTTTAGTTATACTCTCAACAAGTTTAGATGTACTCACAAAATGCCCTGGTATAAGACAGGAAAAATAAAAAATCAAATATCATTTCCTTCATTTTGAATTAGCCACTTCACATATTTGAAATCAGAGTCATAATCACTGCTGATTTCAGTTCAACATTGATGCTGACTGCAACAAGACATATCAATGCAAGGCAGCAATGCCTTCACTGAAGTTTGTGGAAAAGGTAATAGAATGTTAGAGCCAAAGAGTTCCTTTAAGTTAGTTTAATGCAATTCTCTTGTTTCATAGGGGAGGAAACTGAAATTGAGATAAAATGATTTAGCAAAAAAATCACAGATGGATTAATGACAGGGCCTATAAGAGAACTTCAAAGGCTAAGCCCTTGGTATGCTGCCCAAGATAACACAAAGATTTAAGGGATTATTTAGAAATATTTCTATAAAATTTAAACATGTAGTTGTATAATTAATATTGATTAATTTACATTTCCCTTTATTGATTTATTCAAAAATATGTATGCTATACACTAGAGACTGGGGATAAAACGGCCAAGAGTCACAAAATTGCATCCAGGAAGCTTAGAATTTGAAAGAAGGTGGATGTTGAAGCAGATGTCTATGAAAACTGAGTTACATGAAGGATTCTACAGAAAACCTAGAGGAAAAAAGTCCTAATCTGGCCTCAAGAGGTTAAGAAATGTCTAATGAGAATCCTGAGTCTTCAAAGACTCTTAACTCCTGTCCAGGAAGAATTGACACTCAATCTAGAAATTTGATGGCCTATCAAAACCCTGGAAACTGAGAATGCCGTAGTTTTGGAGAATGGGGAAGATACATACGGTTGAAGCAGAACAGGCCTGGGAAATGACAGAGTTTTAGACTGAGGGGCTTGGAGGTGAAAAGGCAGGTAGCTACAATATTATGGCTATTTTTTTCAAAAAGAAAATTGTATTTTGTTCTATATAAAGGTGGGTGCATCACAAGGTCAAGAGATTGAGACCATGCTGGTCAACATGGTGAAACTGCGTCTCTACTAAAAATACAAAAAAAATTAACTGGGCATGGTGGTGCATGCCTGTAATCCCAGCTACTCAGGAGGCTGAGGCAGGAGAATTGCCTGAACCCAGGGGGCGGAGGTTGTGGTGAGCCGAGATCGTGCCATTGCACTCCAGCCTGGGTAACAAGAGTGAAACTCCCACTCAAAAAAAAAAATTATTTAGTGTTTCATTAGGATAGCTTTATTTTAAGTTTAAATCAGAATAATATATACTATAGAGTCAATTTGGGGAAAATTGATCTGTTTTAAACAATGCAATGACTAATTAACTATGTTATGATGATTGCTTAAGTACAGTAATTCCCCACTTAATATTCTACAAAAGGTCTTTGGAAACTGACTTCAAGCAAAACTCTGTCTAACATAACCAATTTCTCCTTAGGCTAATTGACATAAACAAGAGTCAAGTTCCTATGACATATTTATGCTCACAAAAAGCATCACCAAACTTCAAACACATCCTAATATTAAACATTTAAATAAATATGAGCTAGAAACACATTTCAGAAATATTAATAAAAACAAGATAATTATTTCCCGATTTTTGGTGGATAGGTGACTCAGTGGTAGGCGTTGGAAGTTGGTTAAATCAAGGAATGAATGTTTGCAAATGGAACATGTTCAGGAACACCTCCTCCTATGCAAGTCAAAAACAATCACAAATGTGACGGCTCCCTGAGCACCTTCCTATTACATTGTTTGTTGTCCTGCATTTGTATGATTTATTATATACTTGACAAGTTTTTACTTGACAATTTATATTCATTTATTTTTTTCCAACCAGGTTATCACCTAACAGCAATAAACCTCACATGCACAGCTTTGGGATGTTGGATAAACCTGTGCCCAGGCAGACGTGGGGAACCCAACTCCATGCAGACAGCAGCCCTGCCTGGAATCGATTTTCTTTATCAATGTTAGAAATGACATTTGAAGAAAATAATTTTTATTTGGGCACCTGATATATTTCATGAAAGCTAGCATCTGTTTTTATTTTTCAGCTGCAAATTATTATTTTTAAAGTCCTGTTTCAAACACATAAACAGTTGCAAAGAGTAACAACATTGTTTGCTTCTTCATTTTAAACAATTATTTCTCAGTGCTAGCAAGCTAAATTGTCCTGGAAACCTAAAAAAAAAAGAAGAACAAAATTTCTTCAGTTGTAAATGATTATAAAATAACTTTTTCTAAAGTTAAAAATAAACACAATTTTTTTCTTTACATAATTTTTAAAATGTTAGTTTAAAAATAATTATAAAAAGCTGTGATTACAGTTCTTATAAATATAACCATCACATAGCAGGCTTAAAATAAATTCCAAAAGATTAATAAAAACGTGAATCTGATTTACATTTGATCAAATTAACAGTGCAGTGTGGCAGTGTGCTTGTTGTTTTATGCGTATTAACAAATTAACATAGATTAAATTAAAACAAAATTTAGTACAGGACTTAAGAATTTAAATATATCCACTTATAGGTATATCTAAAGTAGCTGACTAGCAGTATGTCTTTTCAATATGTAATAAGTTTCTATATGTTAATTAAGTTTTAATTAAAGTTAAATGTCTAAGAGGGAGGTAATTTCAGAATCAAGACGTAGAGTTAGGAGCCTATTTCAGTGGGGTGAGTGTGAGATAGTCAGTGTTTAACAATGGGTGGGAATGGCAAGACAACACACGAGATTTTGAAAAGCAGGTATTACATGTTTTGATTGCCTTAAATATTTTCCTCTTATGAGTAAAATATGCCAAGAACAGGTGAAATAAGGCTGGGAATGTGCTTGAGAAAAGTGGTGATCACTTAGGACAATAGCAAATGGAAATGGGGAAAATGCACTGACTATAATTCAGGAAAAAAGCATGAGTAGTTTGGGCCCTTGAGATCATACATAGGTATCAGTATAGATCAGCAAGTTCACCCAGCTTTCTTGTGCACACATATGGGAAGATAGTGGTTGGCTGGATTGATCTCGAGTTGAGGTTTTGTCAGAGATGGGACAGATTGGTAGTAGAACTTTAACACAGTTCAGGGG